GCATGGTCTAGGTTTCACTTTTGCTTTCGTCAGCGGGCCATGACAACAACCAAAATGATGTCTGCAACCATATCATAGTTGCCATTTTTAACCAACATATTACTTACACTGATTAAGCGCAGCAAAAAAAATGCTAAATAAAGATTACATTAAAGTTTGTTTTTTTTAAAGGATATTACCTGGACATATTTTACTTACAAGTTTAGAAGGACTGTCTGAACAACATTAAATGGATGTTTGGCCTTCAAGTTCTGTGGAGGACATAGTCTAGAAAGGCAGGTCCTGAGGTCCGTCCTTCCACGGCTGGATTACCACCACTTCCTTGCTGTGTGTCAAGTATTCTTTTTTTCATGATTTAATTAAGAATTTGTTTGAAAACTGAGATCCTGTCTGGAAGGGGCCCTTGTGTGAAAATATAGTTTTAAGACCTTTTGTATTTCAGTTTTGGGCTTATATTTAGCATATTCTTGAATGAATTTTTTTAATCAAATGACCATATGGTAAATCAAGGACCAGCTAGTATTCTTGCATAGAAAAACTACACTTATTACATAGAGACTGGGAAGAATAAAGGCCACAAATCCTTCAAATCCACCGCCCTGAACTGGGGCACAGTGGAGTTATCTGCCTGATTTTACAATGCGCTTAATAACCAAAAAAGGAAAACATGAATTACCCAGCAGAGGTAAATCTCACTGTGGTTCAATGTTAAACTCATGTGCATAAAAATACTGAAGGCTTCCAGGAGTTCAGACTTATAGTTAAAATATTTACAATAACAATTAAATGTATGCTCACACTATTCAACCAAGCACTATTACTTGGCTTATTCATAATGACCATGACCATCTCTCTAATAAGTGGAACATGCATTTGAACAAATGACTCTCCCACTCTGTTTCACATTTAGTCATTCCCTACAGACACGTTTTTCACCACCTATCCTAGAGACAAGACCACTCATGTGGCTACATCCTGTTGCACAACAGCTGAGTGGCTGTTAATAGGAGACTGTCCCCCTGTAAAAACTGAGCCCATCGGTTGTCGGTGCAAGCATCTTAATACAACCCATTGTTACGTTTCATTGTTAATCGATTGTTAGCCTGCATTACGAGGAGGTTGGGGTGTGTTTATCAGTGTTGCCATGACAACAAAGTATGCCAGTATGCTTGTTGCTGGTACGCTCCTACGGGTCGTATCCAAGAGAAAAACGACCCATGTGGCCGTTTAGGTTGGGGGACTTGTTGATTAATAGTGTTGTCACAGGGTTGGCTTAAGGTGGGTGAGCTATTTGTTTTGGTATTAACATTTCAGTGGCTTTTCTCCTTCACCACATACAGGAATGATGAAATACAATAACTGCACACAGAGCACAGAGATAAGAACATCAGGAATTCATATATCTATAATTTAGCAGTAATCATTTGGCTCAGTAACCTACAAAATGCAGTCTCCACCAGGTGCACTGACACTGAAGACTTCTCAGAGCATATTCTTTCAATTCTGACACATGTGACGAGAGCTCTTAAGATTATGTTTAACATTAAACACTGTAAGGTGTTAAATTAACACTGTAACATCCGAGCTCCAGCAGTTACATACTGCAACATTTGGAAAAAAGCAGGCACTTCACAGTAAAGACATCCTAGATATAGCTGCAGTTTGATGATTCAAATTTTTGTTATTGAAGGGAATAGCCAATACCCAGAAGAAAAATGATAACAACTGCTTTGAAAGCAGCAAATGGTAAGCTATACCATGAAGTGTATTTTAACAGGTCATGGAATAAAAATACAGACGGTAAAAGATGTACAAAGAGATGTTCCTGTATAAAGCGCATTTAAATCGTACACTTCCCTGTGTTTCTCTCTCAGCTAAACGTGCACAGACAAGCGTTAAAAGGTGTTGATGGATGCCCTCAGAGGGGCAGTCGTTCATCTTCATGGATCCCTTTCTTTTGAAGGATTGGTGTCAAAACACTGGCTTCTAATGGATGACTTGCTCAGACAGGACCACAGTTGTGTCTTCGGGTTTTCATTGTATAACTGTTTGAACTCGCACTTGTAAATCTGGCAAACTCTACCTTTATGAAAATGTGTCGAAAGCATATATATATATATACATACAGCAGGTTTGAATTTAGTGTCAGAAATGCATGCTGCTAACCTGAAGTGTTTTCTGAAAATATTAGAAGACTGATTTTTTGGTGTAAATATACAGTATATACACACAAATATATAGACCCAAAAGTCTATGACCTCTAATCAAGATGCTTATGCATTTGTTTGGAATGTAATACATTTTTTCATTATATTACATTATGATAATATCAACTTAGCGATTTAAGTGAATCTTAAATCTTAAATATACATGAATTTCAGAATATCCTAGTATCTGGTATGTCCCCCTTTTGCTGTAATGACAGCATGCACTTGAGGTGGCATGATGACCCATTATATGCCGGCATGGTTTGACAATGTTCCACAGAGCTTCTTGTGATGTCACAGAGTGCTTGTTTTTCTTAGTCTTCAAGTGCCTCCATAAATGTTCCGTGGGGCTGAGGTCAGGTGACTGTGGAGGAAAGCAAATGACAGTTAGGACTTTGGTCTTCAAGTAGCTCTTGCAAAACTTTGAGGTGTGTTTTGGGTCATTATCTTCCTGCGGTACGAATCCTTCTCCACAAAAGATGCAAACCAGAGGGTATCGCATGTCTCTGAAGAATGGAGCACTTCTCCTTGGTCAGCATTTACTCAATTCAGTGCAAGTGTCCAACTCCAGAGTAGGCAAAAAAAAAACCCAGACTTGAACATTTGCCCCATGTTTCACTGTCAATTTGATGCACCAGGGTATCATTGTCTCTCTGGTTTGTCTCCTTACATGAACCCACTGTAAAATGCTGGTATCCCATATTCCACCCCAAGCATTTGGCCTTGTGTCCCCTCCTGAGAGGTGGTTTCAAAACTGCTACTTGTCCTCTAGGACCACAAAAAGAAAACCTTGCTGATTTGAGTCTTATGTTCTCTATTTAGTAAATTCTGTATCTGTGATGAAGTTCCTTTTCTGTCTTTTGGGAAACATCTCTTGATATATTGATGGTATGGTCACTTTTGGTCTGTCTGATTGTGCTTTAGATCTGACTGATCCAGTTTTTGCAAAGTGTTGTGTTGTTCAATGCGCTGCCCCCTTAGAAACTTTTAATCTAGCCATGATTTGACGCAGAGAAAGCGGTGTGTGTGGAATAACAATTTGACTTCTGACACTTTCACTTAGTTCTGATGCCATTTTCCCTGCTATCACAATGCAACTTAGAAAGCAATGATCTGCTGGAAACCTGAGGGACAGTCATATTTATAACAGGTGAACACTGGCTGCAAGTTGAGTTACTTGAACAAGCCTCTGAGAGTAGATCAGGTCCACCCAAGTGTCATCTGTACACATGCTTCAAAGGGGATACAACTCAGGGAAATCTGACCTTTTGTACAAAGGAGTTAAGTTGGTCAATGCCTCAAATTTGCTTAAATTTGTTTGCTGATCAAGGAATATTTCTTTTTCATTTTACATGACATAACTGTGTTTTTAACGTTTCTGAATTCTCTGACTTTCGGATTATTTCCAGGTTTACGCGAAAATATCAGACATAACTGTGTTTTTAACGTTTCTGAATTCTCTGACTTTCGGATTATTTCCAGGTTTACGCGAAAATATCAGAGATTTTCATAGTGGTCTAAGACTTTTGGTCCCCACTGTATGTAGGCTATACAATATGTGCGTGTCCATCCAATATATGACAGTGCTGACGAGATAGACTTAAAGCGAAAAATACACACAAAAACTGCATTTCAAAGAATGTGACATATAGAGGTTCAAAGTGTTTATCATACATTGAAAAATAAGTAGCCTATAAAATAATCACACAAATAAATTGTGGAAAATATATAGAAAAGCAGACCTTTGAAAATGTGCAATTTTAAACAAAATGTCATGAAATAAAAATTATATCCATTAAAATTGAGTTACTATGAAATTAATGCATAATGAGCTAAGTTTAAATTATTTATTCATTTATTTCACAAATTGCTTGTTCATTTATGTTTCACACAATATGTTAACATGATTATTTATTTTATAATGTCTTTTTTGTTTATCCAATATTCAAATACATTTTTATTACTGAAATGACAAAACACTCCTCTAGTGCTTACTAGCACATGGATTTGGTATCTTGAGGTCATGAGCAGATTATGAAAAAAGGGACTCCTGGGCACAGGCGAGTAAAAGCCCCCCACCTCTTCTATATAGGACTGAAACTTGTGTTGTTGGTCATTTTGCAGTAATTTTGTGTGTCTTCGTAGTTGTTCTGTGTCTCGTTTCGGTATTTTTGTGTCTCATTGAAGTTGTTCTGTGTCTTTTTATGGTCACTTTATGTCTCTTTGTTGAAATTTTGACTCTCTATGTAGTTGTTCTGTGTTACTTTGTGGACATTTTTGTCTCTTTTGTCTCTCTCAATTTTTGTCTCTAATAATTTAGTGTTTCTTTGTAGCATTTTTACGTCTCATTGTTGTAACGTTTCAAACGTTTAATGTTAATGTTTCCGTGGCTTTCAAAAATAAATGCTAACAATAACTTCATTCAGAGGATCTGGTCCCATGACTTCTTGGACCCTTGGCTGGGCCTGTGCCAGTAGGCCTATTCGGTTGTCCATCTCTGCTTCGGGTGATCTGAGGGGGGACTGTGTTATGTATTGGTAACTGTAGCTTGATCAGCGCTATTGCAAGAGGGTTTGACGGCTGTGGAGTTGTAAATTCTGAGTTTCGTCGTGCCCCTGAAGGCGTCACTTCCCGGGATGTTTACTGCCCTCCCAGTCCCCGCCGCTGCCTGCTGTCCAGGCTGGCTGCTGGGCTCGGGATGACGCCACCTCTCGCTCCGCCCCGGCGCAAACTCGCTCTTTGCGTTCATTTCATTCCTCTTCTCATTCCGAGCATTCTTCGCATCTCTGTCAGTGCGCGAAGCGATTCACCTACACCTTCCTGGCTGGCTCAGAAACACCAGAATAACTTGACATAGTATTAAAAATACCCAGTAACATCACATTACCAAAAGAAAGGGACATTTTTATATGAGATATCAATAACGAGGTAAGTTTAACTGGTAGTTGCAGGTATTCCAACTGGTTGTAGACTTCTGTTCGTGGGGTTTAGTTTACGTGTTTTGGAAATGCTGTACAATTTATTAAAATGTTGGCTTAATTTAGGTGTCTACTATTTATCCCATGGCTTGAAGTAACGTTAGGTCGTCTGTTTCCATCGCTGAGATAGATGGCCGATTCTGGTCGCTGTTGCAACAGGATGCTCACTTTGAACACTCACTGTTGTAGCCTATGGCTTTGACATAGCAGCGAAAAATCTTTGACATTTTTCACATTTTTTGAAAAGAAGCCTGATCATACGCCCCTATAAAAGCCTCAGATGTCGTTTGCCCAGTGCCAGATCCTCAGAAACTCCCGGTGGGATTCAGGATGAACTAAAACATACTGCACGAATAACAATTTTTGGACAAGATGACGGTTGAAAACGTTGCTGTTTTCCTCTCCGTAGTTGGCTCTGCCGGGAGTTGTTGGAGATTTCACCGGAGCATTTTCGGACCACCTCGAAGAAAACGCTGGAGAGACTTGTTGCTTCAACACGTTTGACGGTGCTTTTTAAAATCGTCATCGAAGTTTTGTGTAAGTATTTTTTTTAAATGTTTGATTGTTACTTATCTCACCAGTCTCCATGTTGTTACTGTAACTCTAACGACACCGACTGAACCGGAGGAAAAGGTTAGCCTAAACTCCTTTATTGTTTCGTATTTCGGGGTGGATTAAAGCTCCTCTCTGCCACTCCCTGAGTATCCCATGTCCAAAAACTAGCAGTTTGACAAAAACAATGTACTAAATTACATTTTTGCATATTCTAGCGTTACTTTGGGGGTTTTAAATACTTTTAAAAAGAGCATTTGGTTATCGTTGAGGAAAACTAGCTTAAATAGATATTTGCGATTCCCTTGTTTTTAAAATAGACTATCCGACCATAAATGGAGATGTAGCCGGTAATATATAGGCAATTTGGAGCTGCTTTGTAGGAGCTTTTATTTGGGGTTTCCTTCATTGTTTTCCTTTTCCTCCCTCTACTTTCGGAAATGCCTGCTCAGCTAAAACTGAAGTCCCCCAACTGTAGGCCAGCAGTGTGTGTGTGTGTGTGTGTGTGTGTGTGTGTGTGTGTGTGCGTGCGTGCGTGCGTGTCACAAAGTTTTACTCCTTTTGGTTTTACAGTAACTCCATCCACATATCTTTCTGTATGCAAAGGGAGGGATGAGAAAAGGCCAAATGTTGTCATTAGCTATAGTAAAGTTATCTTAAAACTGGGTGTAAGCACTGTTGCACCAAACACTGAAAGATTTCCCCTTTGTGTCACACTTTGGTTACTCTGCGCCCCCCCTACCCTGACACTTAACTGAATATATGCTGCATTAAATTTTCAGATTTGGTTTGCTTTGAACAAACAGCCCAGTCAGGTCATCAGGCCACAGTTTACACAGCTCAGATATGCTGCTGTGATTCAATCAAAGTATACTTTGATTATATACTTAATTAATTTAGCCAAGGATTATAAAATACATGCTCACATCACCTAATTTATTATGTTTTGGCTTTCCAGTTCTGCTCTTCAGTATCCCAGGCCTCTGTCATCACCAGCTTGAGGAAAATAATTGCTTCTTATTATCATATTATTATTGTTATTATAAGCTTAGTTGAACTGACACAGCTGAGCAATGGGGCAAGAGAAAGACCAATACAAGCTTTAAAAGGATGTTCTTGAACAAAATCCACTTTCTATCACTACTACTACTAGAAGTTTTTGGCTGCAGCAACTATGAGCCTGTCGCCTCCTTTTTGCACAAGTTCTCTGCTTTCATAATATTAAATATGCTTTTTCTTACAGTTAACTACTGTTAAATATTTTATGCAACTTTGTAGAAAATAAAGATTTAATTTCATTTAATTTAGGTACTAGGGTTTTTATCATTTCCAGGAAACAGTTTGAATGCAGTCAGGCGTAACCGCAGACATGTCACAGTGTAAATCTGCTTGCCTGGAAGAAAAAAAAAGTAGGAGTAGAAATAGATGCTTTGTTTTCAGCTTATGCAACCAGTGGACCTGTTGGATGGAAGCCTGCATAACATTTGTGCAAGAATAGGATGTTGTCTTTGTTTGACCAAATTAGACTTTACTTCTGAAACTAGGAGTTCCCAAACTTCCTCTGCTTTTTGATGGAGCATAACTCAGCACATTAAGTATGAACTACACAGACATGTTCACAGCTATGATGACACTGAGCTTCTCTTTTTGTATACTGTAATAAGTTAAAAAAATGTGAAATTAGTAATGAGCAAAAAATAAACATACTCAAAATGATGCCATTGTATTGTGATCTACAAAAGTGAAATTTAAGCAGATGTCGATAGATATCTGAATGAGAGAGGGTTGCGCTGCTGTAGATAGAGTGTTTTAGAAGCTACACAGGTGGTGTGTAACATTAATGCATTCGTCATTCAGATTTTGTTCCTTTATGTTCTCTTGTTGAGGTCTGAGAGCAGGACCACATAGTTGTGGTCCACATAGTCTATCTGTTGTGAAATGTGGATAGAATAATATGCTTTTATGAAGCACACAGTGGACTGTGTTACTTCTTATAGTAAAGTGAGACTGTTCTTCTCTTTGGCTGTCCATACCAAATATTGTTTAAGGGCCGGTGACTTTCAGTACATAATATTTTGGCCAAACATCTGTCAAATGTATTTGCTCATTTTGTGCTTGATGAGGAAACATAGCAAATATGAATTCTTGCTTTTGCTTTTACAAAGTATAGATTTACTTTCTCCTGCCAGGGGTGGGGTTTTGTGAGCCCAGCATTGCATGTATATTACACATATCAGTCTTCTTACCATTATAATTAATTTTCACATATGTATGTTTGTGGAATGACACAGAATTTGAAATTGTCTTTCCATACAATAATCCGAGGATATGACCATGTATACTTTTCGGCACTTGGGGATATCATTTCCAGATGTATCATTTAGTATAGTATATAGATGATTTTAGATACTGATTTTTTTTTTTTTTGTATAACCAAAGAAGGAATCCAAACTGCCCCTTTTGCCATCCATATCATCCCCATTAGCCAGCATTTTTGAATAACCCCTAGTGATTAATAGCACATTAAGAGATACAGTCTCCAGCAGGATGCACCTGTGTACTCTGTGCTCCATGCAACAGGTACTGTGGAGCAGTGATGTATTTATTTTATCAGGATTGAATTTCATTTAAAATGATCTTTTCAATTCCAATAGTATTATTTTAAAATAAGATTATTTTTGGGTCCTACTTGAGTTCTGATATAAATAGAACTATAATCAACTATAATCAACTCCAATTGTAGATTTGGGCTTAATATTTAGGCTATATATATAAATGTAGATGTTATACAAAAGCCTTATAATTGAAACTGTTACCAGTTTGGAGTTAAGGTCATATCTATCTGGCAAATCACACTATAAGCTGTCATTTGTGTTTAGTAGTGTTTGTGTGCACAACAGAGGAGATTTAAAAGGAATAAAATGTCTGTTTATGTTTAGGTTTTTGGTTTGTGGGTTACAGCCTTGTCAACACTTAGATTAGATGATAGGTCTTTGACAAGATGCTTTCATGGTTCAGATGATATTTGTTACCATCAACAGTTAAAGGCTTTGATAGTGCATAGTTTCTACAGCTCTTGGGAATTAAGCCATACCATACATGTAGGCCCTGTGAACAGAAACTTGATGTTAGAAATAAATGCTTTACCTGAGTGAAAATACAGTATGTGTTTTGTATATGTAGGCTATGTGTAACAAGGCATGTTCTCTCCTTGTAGTAAGGGCCTGATAAATTCCTCATGGGAATGTGAACACATTATGTGTGCCACATTTTAATTGAAATGATAATACATGATACTATTTTTTTGTTATGAAAATTCCAGGCTAGAACAATATCTGTGATGTGTAATTGAGTCTGAACACAGAGTCATTAATTGTGTAATTAGATGTGATGTGTGGCAGCGGTAGAATCACATCAAACCATCAGTGTTCTCCATGGTCAAAGCACGCTTTAAAAAGAGGACACTCCTGCAGGCTTCCAGACTGTGTGTGCCCTGAGGTAAACCCTGGTCTAGAAAGGGAATTTTAGAGTATGCGCTGCTGCTCAGCAGTTTGAGCTGGGCCCACTGAGGCCAGCGGAGAGTGCCACCAAAAAGGAAAAGCTGGCTCAAAGCCACTGACGTCATCTAAGTAAATCTGCTTCAGCACTGCAGCCATAAAATGACTGCCAGCTACCGAATGCACTTTGGCCTTGTCAACCACCTTAGTGGTGCAACACAGTTTTTTTCTCCATGTGCATACTTATGGAAGACAGCCTGTGTTTAAGTCGAGTCCCATTTTGCTTGAGTAGTAACAGACTTTGCCTGTTCATTCAAAAGGAACAAGTCATGTTTGAGCCTTTCTAGGTTTACACAAAGCACCAAATGACTGAGCGTCTCATACCCTTTGAAGTCATACCACTTTAATATTACAGTCTTATAATGTTTACCATATGGCAATCTCAATCATTTGCACTGGAAAAAAAGCATTTAGACTTAATAATGTCTTAACCACTTACTGTATTATTGACGTGGAGTGCCATAGAAGTAATTTAGTCGCTGGGACATGTACTTTTTCTTACTGTTTTTGTTTGAATAAAAAGACAAATAAATGAGCTGCCTCATGATCACTCACAGACGAAAAGCAATATGTACACCATGAATCATTAGATGAGTCAGTTTCTGAAACCACTATAAACATTTTGAGTTCTTAACCACAATGAAAGCAGGAAATCTCAGCTTCAACAACTTCCTGTCTCTGGTGGCCATAGTAGCGGTAGTGGTGTTCAGCTTCCCACTAGTGAAAAGAAACAAAGGCACACAGTCACTTCATTTACTGTGTATAATTTGCGGCTTGTATTCAAATGTGGGTTATTCAGTCTCTCTGGCACCATATTCTCCAGTCGTTGCTTGTAATAAATTCCCACAAGACCTTTCATCAATGGTCGTTGTGTTGTTATCATGGCCGACACAGATCAGGCAGACTCTCTCTGCCCTGAAGGTGCCCTGGATTCAGTGGAGGCACAGATAGACTGGAGGGTAAGCTCCCAACATTAATATGCAGGCTGTGCCCAGTAAATTAGTTTGGAATCCGAGCCGGGACACAGCAGTGGAGAGCTGTATTGTCCACTGGGCTTGACACTTACTTTTTTCCCTCATGTGCTCTTAAGTTAAAAAATTTAAGAGCACATAAAGAACTTTAGGGGTGTAATGAAAATTTATCAAATAATGTGTTTTTCCTCAATAAAGGGATAAGAGGAGACATTTACAAGCAAAATGATTTAATTTATTTGAATACAAAAACGTACATAAGTTTTTTAATTATTTCTGCTTCAAACTGTATTTATTTAATAATGATGTTATTATTTATACTTAACTGTATAAACGATATAAACAGTATGAACATGGGAATGTTTTCTGCCACTGTAGGTGGAGGATGATCTGGTATCGCCACCAGGGGCTTCAGTTAACGTTACTTTGTTGCCTTCCTCGTCCATCTCCGGCATCT